CTCGTGAAAATTTTGGCGGGTAAACTATTAACTCGGGAATCACGGAAAGATATTCATCCTTCAATGTTTCGAATTCAGATTTCATGCGCTGGTGCGTGAAATTAACTGCTTTCCAATGTTTGAACTATTTTTGCATAGACTGAAGTATAAAGCAGTAAAAATCATTAATAGGCAATCGTTTGATGGGCTGAATTGCATAAAACATATGATCGCACCGGCTAGTCTGGTGCGCGTTGCCATTTATTAATCTTGCCATGGGCTTTTCGTCCACAGTATGTATGAAACAGTGTTTTGTTATTAAGGAGTGGTGTGCATGGAACACGGAGCGGAAGACAGTATTTCTGGCAGAATGTTACGCTGAAGCGAACAAATTAGCGGAAAATTGCTGTGAATTTCGGCAGACTGCACACGATATACTTGCAAGTATGGAGAATGCACTACTTCATGGATATCACAACGAGCACTTGTCATTCTGGAAAACATCCCGCCTGTTGTCGCACAAACATTTGTCCAGTTTTTACAGGTATTAAATTAGCATTTTTAGCATGGATTTGTTTAAAATTGTTCAAGCATACCAGTAATAAGTAATGTGAGTCAGGTGAGCGGTATGATTACTCTTTTTTATGCATTTTGCCTATATGCAAATTGCAAAAACGCATATCGCAGCGATCATGGTTTGTATGCATACGTGTAAGTATGTGTGTGTATGTGTATGTGTGTGTGTGTGTGTGTGTGTGTGTGTATATGTGGTATGTGCGTTCACCTGGGTATTTCAATTCGGCAACCAGGTAAGCCTGGGCCATGAAATTTTACCAGTGAGTTCTTTGGCCAAATGCGACCCGAGGAACATGATATCAACTTTCACATACTTCTGAATCTACATACAGACACGTTAAGGTTTCGGTGGCAAATTTGCCAACTTAGCAACGAGCGTTATCATTCGTAGACCATGATGACTTCGTGGCATCCGCCTTGCCGATATACACGATAGACTACTATGGAGCGGAAGTTGCATCAGAGTTCAGCAGCACCTTAACTCGAGAATTTTTTCTCATTTTGAATCCGCGTTCACCGTCTTGGGAAGCAGGACAAGTGCTAATTGATTATAATTAGGTAAATCTAGGTTCATTGGTTCTAAAGTTGTAATTAAGTCTTTTTGCTACTCATTCACAGTACAGATCGCTGCTTGATAATAAAGTAGCCTGATGTGGCGCTGCAGTAGTAGTTCTTGAAGAGAGTTGTCTTTTAGGCTGATGAATCTGTCGTTTGATGCGGAATGCTTCGAATCAGATTGTGTCGCTTCTGCTCAACAGTTAGTAAGTGCTATGTTGAATGAGGGGCACGCTGAGGTTCACGATGGTGCTGTTTTAGTGAAGTCGAAAGAGCACGAGAAGCCAATAGTTGTTCGGAAATCCAACAACACAACACTTTATCTGTCCAGGTATCTGTTTCAGGAATGCGGCATGTTTACAGATAAAGAAAAAGCAAGTTTGTTGTGAATGACAAATAGATTATTTTCTATCGGAAATCGCTAGATAATCGGAAACTTGAAATCGGCCTTAATGGGGAGGAACTATACATAGTACTCTGTAGGATTTTACTAACTTTCACTTCGCTTGAACTTTCAAGGCCTTTTCGACTCTTCAGATTGTGCTTTTTTTGGATCCTTAAAATTTTTTGAATTAGCATTTTTTGCTCTTCCTAGATTCTTATATTAGTTTCCGATCCCTTCACTTCGGGATTTTTCCGACCTTCCGGAACAGTGGTTATAATTCGTAGGAAATTTTTATTGTCTCAGGTTTATCATATTCATTAATATGCTTACTAAGCCAGGCGCTACACAAAATCAGTGAGCTTTTTGTGCATCAAAATCCAGCATGGTGATTCTTATACAATTATTTTGTTAAGCTTTTAGTTGACTTATCTTCCTCTCTCAGCTTCGAACCAATGAAAATGAAATGTTGTTTGAGCAGCTCACGTCGAACAGTTTGAAGAAAAGTTAGATACATGGGATGAAATGTTTGACTACTTACGACCATGTTCGTTCACCAATACTGTTTTATGCAATGATTTCCTTTCCTAAATTCACGGATAGTAGGCAGAGTCCGTTGGTCCTTAGTGGAGGGCGGGGAGGAGGGGAGGGGGGAATGGAAACCATTTTAATTGAAAAAGCAGATGTAGAATTGGCCGCAGTTCTTAAAATTCAGGGATTTAGCCTCTCTTCTGTCACGTGAGAGACAATACATGGCCGATGAATATCTCTACGTGGTTGATCATGCCCAACGGCAGCACTTTCTCAACTTGAAACAACTTTTATGTATCATGGGACGAAGTGATCTGGCAAACAAATTGCGGCATATCTCATTCGGACGCGTAAAAGGGCTTTCCACAAGGTATTCTGGCACCTATTCTTACTTGTTGGCGTTTTTATGCGTTTTTTGCAGCAATACAATGCGAAAAACGCATATTGACGAGAGGTTGTCTGTGTG